GCTGAACGTTGATGCGGCTCTGTCTATAAATAACATGGCTGGTATAGCAGGTGTACTAAGAGATTGCTAAGGTAGAATGTTATGTGCATATGGTAGAAAGTTAATTCATTGGGACATTGCATATCTAGAACTCAAAGCTATTTTCTCATTTGGAAACTACATTCAAAATTGGTTTTGTGAATAAAAAGGAATAATCGTTGAAGGAGACAATGTGAATATCATAATGATGCTCCAAGACACAATCAACATGAAGACCATTAAAGGTAAGAAGCCGGACCTATCATTCTTACAAGTTTTCAACAATGTCATATTTCTTTTTGCTCTTAGATATTGTAATAAAACGGCTGATTTTTGTGCCAAGTTTGCTTTGTTAGGAAGTTTTTTTGGGACTCTTTTATTGAAACAGATATTCCTACAAGTTTTTTACACTTGTTTAGGAAGGACTGCCCTTTGTAATTTCTTTTTTCCTCATTAATGCATAATGCATCCTCTATTAAAAAAAGAATAAAAAGAATTAATTTTATATCATTTGATTGATTTGATTCAGTCGATAGAGTATTTGTTCAATTATTATCATATTAGCTATAATTTTAACATTATTTGAGTTTTAGTAATTTATTCATAAACAAAAAAAAATTTATACACACACAGATAAAATAATAATTTTATATTATATATATTAATTAATTATATACTTATAGTATATTTTAGAATTTATTTGTAAATAATGATTGTGATATATGAGCTTGATGGTGCTACAACAAAAATTATGGGAGATTGCTTCAGAACAACAGATACATAATAGATACGCAACAGATACACAACCAATACATAACTAATACACAATATATATGCAACAGATACACAGATGATATGCATATGATGCATAGTCGTATGTAGCAAATACACAACAAATCACAATATATTCAAAACTTAATATATCATATATGAGGAGAGTTTGGAATTCTTTAAATTTTTACTCTACAGTCTTTTTTACTTCATGCCAAACATCAATATTGTCAAAACTCTACCATTTAGTTCCAAAATCATGACAGCTATAGTTAATGATAATGGTAGAGATATGGTTCAATACAATTCCAATGGTGGGATGCTAAAATATGTATTATGTGTTATTTGGATAAATCAATAAAAAATGAACTAATTTTCTCTCATTTGATTGATTTGATTCTGTCGATAAAGTATTTGTTTAAATATTATCATATCAACTTAGAGTTTATTTTAGAATTTATTTGTAACTAATGATTGTTATATATAGGCTTGATGTTGTTGTAGCAAGAATTGTGGGAGATTGCTTTAGAACAGCAAATATGCAGCATATACGTAGATGTTATGTAGCTGATACATATAAAATATGTAGCCATTACACAACGGATACATAACATTTACACAGTAGATATGTAGCCAATACACAATATAAGGTTGAATTCGTATACGGATTATTTTTTCATTGATTAAATGAACTATTTTTGTACATAGGTTTTTACTTATTCTTTGATCAAATTTTTTCTATAAAATAGAAATTGTACAATACATAAAATAATAAATCTATAAAATCAAAGAAATTTATTTATTGATGATGAAAAAAAAATTATGCGCTTAAGCTCAGTAACCTAAGTTGAACATTTATGGAAGCTTCTTTTAGTAGTTTCTTATTTCGAATAGTTTAGCTGAGGAGCTTTTACTTCTTACCTTAAAAACTAGTTGACCTTCTCTTAAAAAAATTCATGTATACTCTAACAAAGAAAGATTTGATAGCAGAAGTAAAAGAATACACACTAATATGGCATGAGTGGCCGATAGTCCACTAGAGTGAAAGTGAATGCAAATGAAATTTTTTAGATGTTACATTTACCAAGGGTTAGAAGATGTGGATCATGCCCTTTGGCATTTGCATACTGAAGTGATGAGGGTTAAGCTCTATAAGATGAGATATTTTCTAAGTGTTATTTATTGGAAATGTCTTGAAATGAGATTCATTGAAGATGATCAACATCTAGTAAGTTCTCATTTCTTATAGATCCAATATCACCATATCCGATGTGAAAAAGAAGCTGGTAACTCTAATATTGATGACATGTCAGAAGTTGATAATCTTATTTTTTACCCTCTATCAAAATTCTGCCATGATGAATTCATTGTGGATCTATATAGAAAACTATTGAATAACATAAATGTCTGATGGTAGGAGAAGAGACTTCTTAACTGAGGATAACAGGATAAATCTACAATATAAATTTAAGTATTTCTTTAAATGTTGTCCTAGTCAAATGCAATTTCAAAATCAATTATGTATGTTGCTTAATAAGAAGTAAGAATTTTGTAGTTTTTCACGAGTATGTTGATTAATTAGTATGATTTGTATTTCGAAATTTGTTGTACATAGTAAACATACAATAAGATTTTGTATTCAAAATATGCAGCAAATACGTCGAATATATGCATCAAATATACAATAAATATGCAGTAAAATTTTCAATATATCCAGAATATATGCATCAAATATGAAGTAAAAAATACAGTAAATATGCAACAGATACACAAAAATATGTAGAAAATACCCAGTAATAACACAAAAGATACATAGAATATATGAATAAAGAATGCCATAAAAATGTAGTAAAAACGTAGAGATATGTAATAAATATGTAGAAAATATGCAAAAATACCCAGTAAAAAAGTAGAATGTATGAATCAAATATAGTAAAAAATATGATAAATATGTAGGAGATATGCATTAAATATTCAAAAAATACCCATTAAAAATGCAGTAAATACGACACATTTATGCAGTTATTTAACAATCAATCAATACAAATAAATTTAATTACAATGAATATTTTACTTTAACAATCAATCATCATAAATAAATTTAATTCATTTGTTGCTCTTAAGCAATGATATCCATCATCATCCTCATGTATTTAGAGGATGGCTAACTAGAGGGTGTGCCAATTATAAATTCCTCAGTGAAGCATTCTAGTATATTTGAGAAATTAAACTACTTTGAAGGTGAAGACATTTGTGTTATACTTTCCTTTATAAGAGGTTTCTCTGTTAAAAAATAATTACAGTAGTCATAATATATAATTAAATGTAATTAGTCAAGATGTTAAATCATACTTTTTGGCTTCTTTTTCATACAAAATTTATAAAAAACTACATAAATGATTCAATTATCTCCTCTAATAAGGTCGCACAAAGAAAAATATTTTGCTAATGATTATTAACCCTGACAAATGGTGCATAGACTAAATTATAGTTATTAAGTATATGACTAGTATAAAAAATATCACATCTCTATAGCAATCATAATATATCCTAACCATCCCATCAACCCAAAAAAAATTTAACAGTCTATCAAATTCATCAATTTGGACGTCCCATGTGAACATGTTGTCATGAAATTGATGATCTTTAAATAATTGAATCAAAGTATTGTTGTCCCCAAATTTAATCTTAGCTCTTTCCTCTTTTTGAATAAAGTTGTATGCTTCTCTCTTGGAGAATCCAATATTTTGGGCACCTCCAACATCATTTGTAAGGTAGGAAAATGCATCAATAGTTCTTATCCTGACTTCTTTCATTGATTTAAGATCTGAAGCTTTCTCATTACACGTATTCCTACATGACTCAAGAGATGTTAGTTTATTGGCCTAGCCAATTCATGATTGTGGATTTCAATAATTTTTTTCACCTTCCAATTTCTAACTTCATCCCTTGTAAACCTAATATTAGTTGGACAACCTATTATGGTGTCTATTTTTTATATTTCATTTAGGAACTCAAATCAGGTAACTTATTTAAACCAAATTTCAAACATATAAAGCCCTTGCATTTTATCTTTTTGGAATTTTGCTAGTAATTGTGATGATCCTTGCTAACACTAAAACCTATAGCATTATGGGAATAACTATAGTAAATATTATATGTCTGTTTCTCATTCTCATACACATCATCTAAAATACACATTAAATATGCAGCAAATATGCATCAGATACCCTAGAAATATGTAGCAGATACACAACAAATATGTAGTAATTACTTAGTAAATATGCAATTTATTTTCCTTAAATATGTAGTAGATATGTAACAAATATACAACATATGCATAATACATACGTAGTAGATATGCAGAAAATACGCAACAAAAAGGTAGCAAATACACAATAGATATGTAGTTGTTATGTAGAGTATGTTTAGTAATACACATTAATTTTAAAACTATGCATAAAAGCTGCATGCTTACATACAATAAGTAAAACTTGGAAGGAGTTTGAACTTTATCGATATATTGAAACATACATATCCTAAATCCAGCTTTCCATATGGTTGCAATTCTTTTAACATCAACTATTTTTCTTCCTGAACCTATGGTTGGAGAACGTCTGGGATCCTAGAGAGAGAAATTCGCCTTTATTCGAATTTTTTGTTCCAGCATTTTTTCTACGGTGGGTGGCGCGGCCATCGGACGATGATCGGAGTTCCTTTTTGAGTGCTATGGCTGCTCTGCGACCTCCAGTGTCGATTCAGAATGGTGGTAGAGGCGGAAATGAGATTGTAATCAGAGAAGGGATGAGACCTCCGTCTCATCTGTCGGTGATCGAAGGTAAGGGGAAGAAGGTGATTATGGAAGATGAAGCAATTGTGAGACGTGATGATCGAGCGTGGTCATGTATTTTGAATCTTGATTTTAATAAATTTGGAACTGATTCGTCGAAGGATGGTGATTCTGTTAATATTCGTGGTTAGAAAGAGGATCGAGATTCTTACAAGTTTCAAGAATCTGTGAATGATCTTGATCTTAATGATAATTATGGTGTGGATATGGAAGTTGAAGGATTGGTGACGGATAATGCAAAAACAGAAGGATGGAATGAGGTGGGTAATGCGTTGACCAAGCCGAAGCACATCAAGATCGAGTGGAACCGAGAAAAGTTGAACTATCAGATGATGGGGTTGCTGTTTTGCTGAATTCAGAGATGGAGGAGAAAAACAAGCATGTATTGAGAAATTCTGTGATAATTAAAGTTTTGGGTAGCAATGTGCCTTTCCCAGTGTGTAGCTTGGAGCTGAGGAGACAATGGAGCAAGTATGGAGGTTTTCATCTAACCTCAATTGGTATGGATTGGATCCTTTGTTCTTTCAAGACGGAAGAGGCTATGGAGGAAATACTTAATGGTGGACCATGGTTTATCGGAGGACACATTGTTGGTATGGATCGGTGGAATGCTGAGTTTGATCCTTATTCTTTTAAGGGGATCACCGCTCCTATATGGATTCGATTTCCCTGTTTGCCGCTGTATTGCTGGGATGAAGACAACTTAACAAGAATTGCATCTCGGTTTGGGACGCCGATGTATATTGATAGTAATACATTCCGTTGGGGGAAGAGGGAGTTCGCTCGGGTATGTGTTAAAATTGATTTGGAGAAGAAATTACCAAATGGAGTATGGGTGGAAGGCTCAGTGGGCAGGTTCTTTCAGCTGGTGGAATATGAGAATGTGCATTTGCTTTGTTATCATTGTGGCCGTGTGGGTCACAATAAAGATGAATGCCCTGATGAGGTTGCTCAGGGGATTCGAGATCAGGCCTCTTCTAAAGTGGTTGCAGACAAGCCCAGGAATAACATCCCGGAAGCCGGTTCTGGAATGATCAAGTCAGAATACGGCCCATGGATTCATGTTCATTTCAAAATAATCGCTCTATCAAGACATGGGGCGATGGGAGAAAATTGAATGAGAGAAAGATAAATAAGATGGGTAACGTGATGACCAAACATGTACAGAAAGCTGATCATATTGAGTTGAAGAATGGAGTTAATGTCTGTAATTTGAACGTTACGAATGAAAAATTGCTTATTCAAAATAAGGAGGATGGTGGACAGCAGAATTCTGTTATAAATTCTCATCCTATTGAGGTTAATAATAGGTTTGATATTTTGATGGTTGATTCTGGTGATGAACCCGTGAAGAAGTGTGTGGAGGTTGATAATTCTGAGGCATTGGAAAGACAGGGCAATGAGGAGATTAATGAAGGTGGAAACAAGGTTATCATAGACACGGGGCCTAATTGATTGGCATTCATGTCAGCCTTTGTATATAATGTGACCCTCAGCCTCGAGGCGAGTCATTTATGTGAGTTTTCATGGGCGAGTCCACAGGGTCCAATGTATAGAGTGAGTCTATGAAAGTGAATCTTTTGGACATAATGGCGAGTCTATGGGGACAAGATTTAAAATCTTGGATGCAAAAGGATGAGTCCTCATGGGTGGAAGTAATTACGATTTGAGGAGTGCTTGAATCAAAGAAATGGTAGTTGAAATGTGTGTGTTTCCTATAACTAGATTTGGGATCGTGGGTGGATGTTCCTATCAAAATTAGCGACATCCAGACTTAGGTGAGTTTGGACAAGTCCTACTAGGAGGCTCAACAAAGATAATGAGGAGTCCGGCTTGCATGAGCGAGTCCTCTCATCATGGCCTCGTTGGTATAGTGGTCTACCTTCTAGTCACTATAATCAATATCTGAATTTGTTCATGGTTGATACTCAACCTTAATAACATGTATTCTCTTTTTAATTTTTGAAAATTATGCAATTAGCTTTAAACAAAGAAGGAAAATATACAAACTACTATGTGATAATTAACCTATGACAATCCTTGCTAATCAAGTCAATAAAACTTGACGGAAGAACATTCTCAATAAAAACATAATGAAATCACCTAAGAGTGCTTAATGAGAAAAGGAATCAACCACTCTATTGTTATTTCTAGAAATAAAATGAAAAATTATTTTTTTAAAAACTTCTAAAAAGAAAAATCCAAACTATGAATACTTTTATTCTGCTCTTTTGTTTTCAAAACTGAATTCCACAATATCTTGATAAAGTTAATATTATCACATTCAACGATGATTCCTTTCTTATCAATCATCTAATCTTGAATAACTTTTTTAAAATAAAAAATAGTAATAAATTCGAGAAGAGAAATATCCCAATGAAATAACTTCTTTCCATATGCTAATAAGAATCTTCCTTTATGGTCACGAAGCACACCTGCTATATTCACCAAGTTAGACTGCATCAGGGAAGCATCAACATTCAACTTGATCCAATATGTAGGAGAATACAAATTTTAGACAACACATAATGTTTGTTAATATCCCAGTTCTGGCAAATTGGAAATAATTGAGGTTAGATTGAATAAGAAAGAATATTATCTGCAATCATAACTGGAGACGGAACACTAGCTCCATGCTTAAAATTATTCCTTGCTTTCCAATTATGATAAACAGAAGATAAATAAATTCTGACAGCTCAAGAGTTTGAAGAAGCAAATTTCTCCAAATTATATACATAATGAGATAAATTGTTAAATTTAGTTAATTGAATTACCCATTGCTTAAACGTATCAAAAATTTCATTTAACTTATTGCAATGAATTGAAATATGATTAACATCTTCAATTTGCATACAAGATCTCATACATAAAACTGTATCCTATAAGTTTATATAATTCAACCAGAGATTAGTAGGAAGGGCATTGTTTTGTAGTCTCCACCAAAATAAAACATCCTTCGGCGTAAACTTTAATTTCATAATTCATTTAACGTTTGTTCCTTCATTATTTTGAATGATTGAAGCCTCAAAAGTCAACACAGTAACAAATTTGCCTGAATTCGAAACTAGAAGTTCTGGTTGATCTCTGTCTGAACCAGAAATAACAGAGATTTCATTGATAAGCTGAATAAAATCATCTAAAAAATAATTTTTTAACAAAGGCAGATTCCATCTACCATTTTTATCAAGAAGAATTGCCACATTTTTATTTTGAAGATCTGTCATATTACAAGAGGTTGGCTATTTATTTAAGCATCTGTCAAGAATCCAAATATCATTTGTGATATTGATACTTACACCATTGGAAACTTGCCATCTAATAATGAGTTATAGAAAACGAGCACCATCTTTTATAATATGCCAATCCGGAGAAGTGCATCTCTTCATTTCTTCTTTCCAGATATCATTGCCATATTTTGCCACAATAACTTTACTAAGAAAAGAATTCTTCTTTTGAATGAAGTTCCAAGCAATATGAGCCCTTAACGACCCCAGTCTATCAGCAACACCTTGAATTCCAAGACCACCTTTATTAATAGGAGTACATAGTATATTCCAAGAAATATAATGCATTCCCTGTTTTGCTTGTTCCTTATGCCATAAAAAGTTTCTACAATATCTGTCAATATCATCTAAAATATCCTTTTGGATCAAAGAATGAGTCATAATAAATAAAGGAATTGAAGAAAAAGCAGTTTAATCAACCAAATTTTTCCTGTCAATGAAAGGGATCGAGATCCCAAGTATTAAGTCTTTCTATTATCTTTTCCAGAACATTTTGATAATCAACATCTTTTAATCTTCTAAGAGCCATCTTAACTCCTAGATAAATAATTTCAGATGCAACACGTTATCCTAGAATTTTATTTAATCTTCTTTACTCATTATTCATAGGGCTCGGAGGGCTATAGGAAATGTTACACTTAAAAAAGGTAAAAAATAGTTCAAAATATAATTATATAACATATAATGTGACCTATTGTAAGATGTAATAAACACATGGTCTAGCTGATTGGTTTCGATATGGGGCTCTATTTAGTGTGGGCCTCGGCCTCAAGGTGAGTCTTTTCTGTAAGTCTTTGTGATCAAATTTTTGGGCGAGTCCTTGGGGTCCAATATATAGAATGAGTTTGTGAAGTCGAATCCTTTGGATGTGGTTGGGAGTTCATTGGGACAAGTGTAACTCTTGAAAACAAAAGGGTGAGTCCTAGGTGGAAGTGATCGCGAGCCGAGAACTACCTAAACCTAGGAAATCGCAACTACAACCTTTGAAGTGTGTGCATTTCTAATGCATGGATTAGGTATGTTAACGATAGTTGAGTGGCCTTGACCATGAATAATGACCATGGGCGAATGGTACTTGTTGAGATGAGTGACATCTAAGGCTCAAGTGAGTCTGGACGAGTCCTTTTGGTTGGCTTGTCAAAGATGAAGACTCCTCTGTCCAGCCTATCCAAGAGAGTCCTCATGTCATAACTTTTTGCTGAGAGAGTTCCTATGATTTTATGTAGTGCTGACCAATTTGTTGGCCGACGACTTTTCCTCATGATGTCTGCTCCTCTGGAAAGATGTGATTGTTCAGGTGGTGTCTCTTAGTGGGAACCTATCGAGTACCTGTGAAATGCCTACATGGGTATTTACAAGTATAAATGTACTTGTTTAATTTAATAGTAATTCTAGTATGACATTTGAAGCATTTTAAAAATATTGTTGATACCCATTTTTTTAGTCATTGACAATCATAATTATTAATGTTTTTTCAATTGAATAAGCATGTTTGATCATGCATTTTATTTGCCTTTGTTGACCTTAGATTGTTTGCTAATTATTATGGAAGTATTAAGATAATAAATTGAGGTGGATAGAAGTTTAACTATAATGAAATAATATGCAAACATTAAAGAAAAGTCATAATGTGTTAAAGGTTTGATTGACATTTGATATCATATTCATTCCTTCTATCTCTCTTTATCTCCATTTCAATATATCATCATTATCATCTGTTGCAATCCAGGATCGCGAGCTTATGATTTTGACGATAACAAACATTATTGGGTTTCTGTTTTGGTACTCCTGATATTATTATTGGATATTTGTTTTGTGCACACTAAACATTTTAGGTATACCGTACACCGTGCAAAAGACTTGACACAAGACTGGGTTGAATATGTTTGATGTTTTTGCAAGAGTCTATATTTTAATTTATTGATTTTTATATTTCTTGAGTCAAAAGTCTTGTAAAAGGTGTATGCTGGCTTAGCAACCGTGCTCACACTCACTGGGAAGGTAAATTAAGTGTTTTAATTTCTGTGAAGATCATCCTGTATGATCTGAGTAAAGTAGGGATTAATTAATTAAAAAATTTAATTAAGATAATCTAAATATATACTAAGCGTACTATACGATTCAAATAGTACATGATGATGAGTGGTTTCACTCTTAGAGATAAAATGTGAGACGAGTATATACGTGAAAGCTTGGAGTAGTCCTAATGGCGGATAAGATTAGAGAGAGTTTCCTTAGATGGTTTGGAAACATAAAATGTTAGCCTTCCAATGACCCTGTTAGAAGAGTAGATGTATTAAATTTTGCCTATGTTAAAAAAATGTTATGGTAGATTTTAAAAGATATGTCTATAAAATATTAGAAATGATATTTTTTTTATTAAATTTATATGAGAATTTGACTCTTAATAGGACATAATGGAGAAAAATGATTTATGTAGCTGACCCCATGTAGTGAGTGTGATAAAGGCTTTATGGTTTTGTTGCTAATTTGTAATATATCACACCCACTAAAATTTCATATGCCATTAGAAATTTTTGTCATGCTACTTTAAGAATATTATTTTATTAAAATTTTCTTCATTGTTCTTATATCCACTTATTTTAGTAGAGGTCAATTCAATTTATGTCATTTGTAAAAAGCATATAAAATATACCTAATTTTTCTTATTCTATATAAGCATTGCCAAAAATAATGTTAAAGGATATGGAGTTAATGTTAATATTTAGTGTAATTGTACTATAACTGAGAACTCATTGGTCACTCTACAATGCTTCTTCTTTGCAATGTTTTTTGATTTCTTGTAATTATTGTATGTAATAGTAATATTTGA